ATTAAAGGTAGATTTGTTGAGAAGATAAAGGAATAATAACACCTAATGCTTTGTAGGGAATATAAATACACTAGAGATAGGTTAATGTCATCTAAGAATAAACTTGGTATTAAAAGTTTGTTATAGGCACTGTAATCTAGTCTTGGGATAAACTTAAACTTATAGAAGATACATAGCTCAATTAAGTTTGATATTAGGTTGTCTCATTAGGATAATGTGCGTAACCTAGGAACGGAGAGTAAAGTTCTATTCCATGACACTATCAGATGTTTATGTATGGTAGCTCCGTATAGGATGACCAAAAATGGTGGGTCCCGATCATGAAACTATTAGCGGTATGTCTGGTCACCCCACAGAGTAGGTGACAACACTTGATCATTCTAGACGTTCTTGTGAATTACATTGCTAGTGTGAGATCATTACTCACAGACGTAGATGAATTGGAAAACAATATTCATCAAATACTCTGACGGCCCATAAGCCTTTATGACTTACAACGACAAGGAAGGTCGTAGCTGTGTAGCTAACGATTCTTCAGGAAAGATAAACTTCTCTCTGATAATCACTATTCAAGATCTGTGAGGATCGACAAAAATTTATAGTCTAGGATTTGTGAGGATCAGTAGGAATGAATATGTAGGAATGGTTATTTTATGGTAACGGTTGGTTTGCAGGTCTGATAATTATGGAATATTATCATCTCAATATCATGGGATTGAAATCCCTATGTATCTCACCAGATTTCCCCAACCTGACCCACTTAACTCATATGCATCACAGGTATGAAGACTTAAGCCAATGGAACTTGATTAGGATGTTGAATGATTAGGAGACAACTTGCAATAGTATTCAAGACCATCAGGTGTTTACGCTCTAAATGATGCATATGTATTGAATATGACATTCTCAAGGTTTTAACACTTTGGAAACAAATTTTTTTAATCAAAATGATCTTTTGTACTGGGATTTTCCGCAAACATAAATAAATGATTGCGTGAAGAAATGTTTTAAATGGTTTCCGAAAATTAGAGGATATCAGATTTATCAAATTAATTTCTATTATAACACAAAACAATAAATCTAATAAACTTCATTGCATATCTTGTTAAGGTTCTCAGCCAGGTTTTGACACATTTCGTGGAGGATTCTAGAATTATTTGAGCATAGGTAAATCTCAACATTTTAATAAAAATTCTTACAAATTTCCAAGGTTTTCTTTAAATAAAAATTCCAAGAAATTTAGAATATTTAGGGATGGACGCTCAAGTATCGTACGTATTTCATTATGAGCGGAAACTATATCCAACAAAATTTAAAAACTAGTTGCCTAATTAGGTATGATATAAGTGTGTGATCAATGAATAAAGGAAACATGTTTCTAGATAAGGGAAAAGGGAAAAATAAAGAAAACATAATGTATTTTTACCATTTTATCAATTTAGGCACTTTTAACTATTAATTTTATTATGATTACCATGATAATAGTTGAGTGACCATGTGGTTTTATTTACCTTGTAGAGTACATATGTAAAGATTGGGTATGCTCAAGGGTGCAACATCTGCTATTCTTCATGCATCTCAAGATCTTACCATTCATCTTCAAAGTGCCTAACTTTCACTATCAATACAAGAAATGTACTTTATTTATTTACTGACACTACTACAAAATGAATCTAATGCAACTTTTTAGATGCAACCTTTTGACAATAGTTGCATTTGATTATAAAGAAGTTCATGTCCAACAAAAAGGTTGCATTAAAAGATTTACTGCAACCTTTTTTTATAAAAGTTGCAAGTTATATTAAAAATTGAAACTTTTTTAAAAAAAAGTTGCAAATTATATTTAACATTGTAACTTTTTGCTCAAAGGTTGCAAATTTTATAAAAAATTGCAACTTTTATTACAAAAGTTGCATTGTTAAAACATAAATGCAATTTTTAGTGTAAAGGTCCATGTTTTTAATTTTGGCAATTTAAATTATAAAATAAAATAACCAAAATTTAATTAAAACACTTTCATATATAATTTAAATATAATATCCAAGATAATAATTATTATTATCAAATAAACTTCAATTTTTTTTTAAATATATTTTTCGTACATTTATTTTCATAAAATTTCATTTACATATCTTATCTAATTTCGTTTTCCTCTCAATAAATAACCTTTTATTTCAATTCCCGCTATTTTTTTTTTATTTCCCTCTAACTAAATCATACTATACTTTCCAATACTTGACTTTTCAACTAAGAGCACGGTATACACAATTACATACGATCTTTCCACCGACATCATATTACTCTCAACCCTAACTCGCGAATCAGGCAATCACTGCCATTGAAGGTAGCAGGCTCACAGTGCCATTCATTGGCACTGTTCATCTCGTTTCCGAAGTTTCAATTAACACCATTGAAGGCTCCAAGGCTTTGTTATCTTCGTACCTGTTCTAAATTCAAGGCAAGCGACAAAAGCTAACTAGAACTTTATTTAACCTAATCGATTCCAAGCTATTTCGTCTCTATGATTTGACTTGCTAAATCTTTTCACTACTCTCGGTTATTCTTCCACAGGTGCCAAGAGGCGGAATACCCTCATCTAATTGCCAATTTCATCAAAGCTTCTTGCTTAAGTCCGTCTACCCAAACCAGGTATGACCCTGTACCTTTTTTCTCAAATTACTCTTCTACTTAATATAACAAATAGATTTTCGCTTCAGAGCGTAGCTAATTGATTCAAAGTTGTTTGTTTAATGTTTTACTATGCATATACATGTTAATCTAATATGGTTGACAGTGTGCCATACAACCATCTAATACACCATACAACTGTACTTGATCACTTATACAACTGTACATGTATCAGATTCCACCCTATTCACATATGATTCCGTTCCATTTACATGATTTCGTTCCAGCCATTCCACTCGTGCTCACATGACTGCATTCCAACCCTATCCAACAACCGATTATAAACCCTGTTGTACTTAAATCCCAATCTTGAATTTCTTATAGGATGATAAAAATTATTCAATTTGGATTCCAGTTGATGTCAGAAATATAACATTAAGAACTCCGGTTGCTGGCAGAAATACTCTTGCCACATTCTCAGCATATATTCGAGCTTCAAAGGCTTTCCCTACAAATTGCAATAAAGTTATATGAAAACATAGACTCAAAGTAAATGCAAGCATACATACATATTGGGGGCTTGACAAAAAAAGGGAAGGAATTGAATAAAATTCGTTGAAAATAAATTCCATGAATATATGAAGGATTCAAATTTCAAAACACCCATGGAATGGAATCTTAAATTCCATTTCCATCTGATCATGCAAGAATCTATAACAAAATATATGAGGAAAAATATACTGAAAGCACAAATTGACCTGATTTAGGAATCTGTGCTTGACCAAACGGGATTGATTCTCCATTAGCAACACGGATTTGCCATTCTACAAGATCTGGACCAAAATCATCTCACTCACTAGATGTTCAACCTGAAAAAAAATCAAGAGTATCCCTCATTACTCTTTAGCTTTAGCTACTACATGTCATTAATATAAACAGATACAAACTTCCATATCAGTTAAACCATTCAAAATATCTTACTTTTTCTCCTTTTTTTTGGAGAAAACAAGATTATAGACTCCTTCATTACCTTGGCAGCAGATACAGCAGCTTGACCTAAATGTGGACTTAATGATATCTGGGTGAAGAACATAACGAGGGTTTGTTAAAAATAATTGGTCAAGAATGATACTAACAGTATGGAAGGAGATATTGGATTGCTTTTAACAACAAATGATATTACAGAACATAGAAATTGTTGGAGAAAGCATATCTAAACAAGAAGATAGAAGGAGATATTGTGCAGGAAACAAATAGAATTTTTATTAATCAAATATCAACAACATTTACATAAGATAACTACACATATATATACCCCGTAATGGGTACTTCTTAATGATCACAACGGTTCAGGAGAACCATCATAACTTTTTGTCAGAACCGGTGAAACTCTTGGAGAGATAAGCACATTAACTTCCATCTTGTAACTGTTGTTAACAAGAATCGTTACCAGATAAGTCTAGCTTATATCTTTAACAAAAATAGAGTAATTTAGAAGCACCTTATAGAACAAACAAATAAAATAATTTATTTTACATGAATAGGATATAATATTACAAATATACCTCTCGATGAACACACCACACCTCTTTTGATTTTATTCCTTTTTCCCTTGTTTATGTTGTTCCTAGAAATCCCTTGGTCAAACACTTTGAATACATTACTATTTTGTTTCTAGAATTTAAAATTAAAAATAGTATTTGCAAAAGATATTTACCAAATGCTTGTAGTTTTTAACCGATTTACTAAAAAATTGTATAGTTTAATTTTGAATATAATAATAATAATAATATAAAAGGAATCATTAATAAATGATTGTAATATTGTTAAGCGGAGCATAATTCTTTTTCAGTAGTCTTACTGGTTCGATGGTTCAAGTTGTCCAATCGGTATCAAAAACCCAAAAAATTGAATAATATCATAATTACATTATTATTAATTTGAGTATAATAAAAAATGAAAAAAAATATATAGATATTTTTTAAAATTCCCGGTTTTATTGGTTTGACCGGACCAGTTTTTACCGGCACATACAAACCTTTTATTTCACCGAGTTTACCAAAATACCCCCGAATAAAATCCATGGCTAAACCTGATGCATAGCAGTGTCATTACATTAGGAGTGGTACACTCCATATTTTTTTATTTGGGCTTGACAATTATCAAAAATTTCAAAACTCCATTAATAAAGATACAAGAAATACACCTTTCTATTTATTGAATTAACCCATAATAAATATCTTAAAACTTTCAAAAGCCAAACTTGAAACCGACTAGGTTCTTCTGATGTTTCTTACCCAAAAACAATTTGGCTTCTAACTAGTAGATCTTTATTCTTTACTATAGTTTAATGTTTCTATTAACTTCAGGGTATGAGAGACATAAGGAATGTTAGAGATTGGATGTATTTACCTAGACGGTTACCTGAGTTTGAATCTGGTGTCATTGAATTCATTAATACCTCGTTTGCTAAGGTGGCAAAGGGTGGTCAAATTTGTTGTCCCTGCAAACGGTGTAAGAACCGTTATTGGTATCGAAGGGATAAAGTATTCGATCATTTAAAAGGATACGGGTTTGTAGAAAACTACTATGTATGGGTTTTTCATGGAGAAAACTCTTCACAATCTATGTCTAATACTGTCATAGACGATGATGGAGCTGGTATGAATGACAATTTTGATGAATTATTGCATGATAGGTTTAGAGATGTGGCAGAAGAAATAAGTACGGTGCAAGAAGGCTTAAATGAAGAGGCCAAAAAGTTCTATAAACTAGTGGAAGAAGGAAAACAAGAGTTGTTCCCAGGTTGTAAAAATTTCACAAAGCTATCTTTCATCATTCGACTTTTTCTCTACAAGACGCTTCATGGGCTAAGTAATGTAGCATTTAATGATCTATTACAACTTTTTCAAGAGGTGATTCCAGAGGCAAAATTTCCTACTAGTTTTACACAAGCTAAAAATATCGTGAAGGATTTGGGGCTTGACTACAAAAAGATTTCTGCGTGACCGAATGATTGCATGCTATACTGGAAGGATCATGAACAAGATGATACCTGCCACATCTGTCATACCTCTAAGTGGAAACAATTTGATGAGAAACAAGCGAGTAAGCATGTCAATGAGCATTCCAAAAAATCTTCAAATGTTCCTGCTAAGGTTGTGTGGCATTTTCCTTTAAAACCAAGGCTCCAAAGACTTTTCATGTGCTCTGAAACAGCTAAATATATGACATGGCATGACAAAGGATGTCCTAATGATGGAAACTTACGACATCCTGCAGATGGGGAAAGTTGGAAGAAATTTGATTCTTTGTATCCTCAATTTGCAAAAGAAACTAGAAATGTAAGGTTAGGGTTGTCAAGTTATGGATTTAATCCATTTCGAACAATGAGCATTGCTCATAGCACTTGGCATGTGGTATTAGTTAACTATAATTTGCCTCCATGGATGTCACTGAAACCCGAATACTTTATGTTGTCTTTGTTAATTCCTGGACCCGACTCACCAGGTAATAACATTGATGTTTATTTACAACCTTTAATTGAGGATCTGAAAGAATTATGGGTTGATGGGCTAGAGACATATGATAAATATAAAGATGAAAGCTTTAGAATGTATGCAGCCTTAACATGGACAATTAGTGATTTTCCAGCTTATTCCATGTTGTCAGGGTGGAAAACTAAAGGAAAATTTGCATGTCCATGTTGTAATCATGAAACCAGTTCACTCCAACTGAAGCATAGTAAGAAGACATGCTATATGGATCATCGCAAGTTTTTAGATGCTCAACATCCATGGCGACGTAATAAGAGTGCTTTCAATGGTAAAACTGAAAAGAGACCTTCTCCAAAACCCCTATCAGGAGATGCAACTTTGAGAGAGTTGTCTAGCTTTCAAAATATCTTTGGGAAGAAACAAAAGAAAAAAAATGATAGCAATTGCCCATGAAAAAAGAGGTCAATATTTTTTGAATTGCCCTATTGGAAATTTATTGAATGTCGACATAATCTTGATCCGATGCATATCGAAAAAAATATAACTGATAAGTGGGTAGGGACTGTGTGGATATTAGTGGAAAGTAGAAGGATCATGTAAAAGCTCGATTTGACCTTTTGGAGTTGGGCATTAAAGAAGGACTTCAACCAGAACTTTCTGAAGACGGTAAGAATGTTATATTCCACAATGCATGTTTTTCAATGTCATCAAAGGAGAAAGAAATTTTTGTCGTGTTTTGAAGGAAGCAAAGTTGCCGCATGGATGTGCATCTAATATTTCCGGATGTGTTAATTCTTCAGAAAAGAAATTTTCGGGTTACAAGAGTCATGATGCTTATATCTTTTTGCATTACTTGCTTCAAGTTGCAGTGAGAAAATCATTCCAAAGCATGTTGCAATCCCATTGATTAGGCTGGGTGGTTTTTTTCGTAGTTTGTGTAGCAAGGTAATTAGGCCCGAGGAACTTGATAGATTACAATTAGAAATTGATGGGTTTTAGGTACAACAAATAAACTAGAAAACAATTCCTAAGTTCACATGCAACCTACTTTAGATCTATGTTTTAACTATTGAACATACAACTTTGAATGCAAAACAAGAACCCTAGAGGAGAGAGGCTAATTTCGAAATTTACAAAACTAGGGTTTAGGGTTTACTACATACCTTTCAATTGTTATAGCAAACATTGATATTCCCTTGATCTTGATCTTGATCTTCTTGGACTCTTGGAAGCTTTAGCACCACAAGTGTAATGCCTCTAATGGAATCACACCCAAACTAGCAAGAAGGAAAGTAGAAGAGAGGGGGAGAGGGAGTATGCAAATCTCTCGGCCTTCGGTTTTGTTTCTTCAAAGAAAGAGTGACACAAAACTGAACCAGGAGGCTCCTTATATAGTTGAGGGATTTAGGGTTTAAAGGAAACCCCTAGTTATCCTTTGCTTAGGGCCTAAGCAAACCCAAGGGCCTTATCCAAGCCCCATGGACGAAATTATTAGGGTTTCCCCTAAAAATTTCGTCCACCCTCTTCCAAGGGGGTTCTAGAGCCTTCCACTCAACTATTAGATAATTGCAAACTAGTCCCTGCACCTTTAATTTAATTCTTAACCCAAAATCAATTCTGATTAATTTCTGGCTAACAATAATTAAACATAATGATTCTAATTAATATATTAATCCATTAACATATTAATAAATCATATATATATATATTAATTTAATTAATCTTATAAATTAATATCTCTCCTTTCATAATTTCCTTGTCCAGTTGCTAGGTTGAGGGCAACCCAAAAGGACTGTGCTGCTATCAATTCAAGTACATACCAATTATAGTTATGGGCTTAGACACCTAATCCAACAGTCTCCCACTTGGATAAGTCTGTAACTATAATTGCTAGTATGCCTTCTAAATTTGACCAGCAAATTGTAGCTTCCAAAAGCTGCTGCCGAACTCTGACCCAGTCAGTTACGTTCCTAAGATAAGTGATCATATAATCCTTCGTTCTGCTGGATATCCCTAGACATAAGACATGGAATGTAATCAATCTCTTTGTCCAGAATCTATGTTTCCCGATTCCTGATTTGTGATGATGTAGGACTTCTAATCGAACACATCAATTTAGTCCTGGCTGGGCCCAGCACATAAGTCAACACCAAATCATCGAGGGCCCACAGATATCGCTTTTCCTGTTAGGGCAAAAGGAACGAATAAACGTTGACTCATATGCTTGTATCTTTTACTCATCAAATTATGCATGACAATACGTTTTATAACACCAAGTTACTGATGCGTTTTCGTATCACCAATGCACAACCGACTTGTAAATTACAACTCATATATCTTCGTTTCAAGATTATAAGATATTATCGTCTCAGTATTACTCGTGATGAATTCCATGAAGTAATACTCTGAGCGTGGGTTTATCCAATACTCAAATCTCAATTTCTGAGTACTCATGAACATTGCAGCAATTCTATTGCCATGTCTATCCTTAGACAATCTGCAATCCAATTCATGACAGTCTTAATTCACTACTTACTTCCAAAGTACGAGCGACTGTGGAGTTTGAATAATCTCATTATTCAGGAAGTAAACATGCAAAAATGAAACACAATAATAAACAATTGACAAAAGGTAGTAGCCAAACTTATAAATAATACTTTATTATTTAATCACCAAAAGTCAATTACATTACACTTTGTTACAAGTTTCAAAACTATCTAACTACTAAAACTAATATCATCTTTCAGTCCTATGCTCCGAGCATGCTGAATATGCTTAGCCCTACTCAGACCCTTTGTGAGGGGATCTGCTGGGTTATCTTCAGATGACACCCTCTTTACTATAAGATGGCCTTCTTCAACTCTATGTCTGATGAAATGGTACTTTCTGTCGATATGTCTGGTCTTACCATGATCTCTCGGTTCCTTTGTCAAGGCAACCGCTCCTTCATTATCGCAGAACAGTTCCATAGGCTCCTGGATGGTTGGAACAACTCCGAGATCCCCGATGAAGTTCCTCAACCAAGCTGCTTCTTTCGACGCTTCACTTGCTGCAATGTACTCTGATTCACAAGTAGAATCAGCCACCGTATTTTGCTTGGAACTCTTCCAAGTAACTGCTCCTCCATTCAGTAAAAAACCCAGCCTGACTGAGAACGGAAGTTATCTCTATCCGTCTGAAAGCTGGCATCACTGTAACCATCTACTCTCAAAGTATCACTGCCACCAAGCACAAGACCCAGTCCTTTGTCCTTCGCAAATACTTGAGTATATTCTTAACTGCTATCCAATGAGCTCTACCTGGGTTTCCCTGATAGCGACTGACCATGCTCAAAGCAAATGCCACATCAGGGCGAGTACATGTCATAGCGTACATGATCGATCCGACAGCGGAAGCATAAGGTACACGACTCATGTCATCTATTTCAACATCTGTACTCGGGCATTGAGTCTTACTCAATTTGGTATTGCTCTGGATAGGTAGCTCTCCCTTCTTGGAATTTTCCATACTAAACCTCTTTAGTACCTTATCCAAGTATGTGCTCTGACTAAGTCCAATTAGTCTCTTCTTTCTATCTCTCAATATTCTAATCCAAGAATATAGGCAGCTTCTCCAAGGTCTTTCATGGCAAAACACTTTCCAAGCCAAGACTTAACTTCTTTCAAGGTTGGAACGTCGTTACCAATGAGTAATATGTCATCGACAATAACACCAGAAAAGTTACTATACTCCCACTAGCCTTGATATACACACAGAACTCATCTTCACTTCTAGAGAAACCAAATTCTTTGACTTTCTCATGGAAGCAAAGATTCCAACTGCGAGATGCTTGTTTCAATCCATAAATGGATTTCTCAAGCTTGCACACTCTATTGGGGAACTTTGCATCAACAAACCCTCTGGCTGACTCATGTAAACATCTTCAGCCAACTTCCCATTAAGGAAAGCAGTTTTGACATCCATCTGCCAGATTTCATAATCATGAAAGGCAGCTTGGCGAGCAATATCCTAATAGATTTAATCTTAGCCACTGGCGAGAAGGTCTCATCATAGTCAACCCCTGGGGTTTGAGTGAAACCTTTTGCAACCAGTCGAGCCTTGAATGTGTGCACATTCCATCCATGTCTGTCTTCTTCTTGAAGATCCATTTGCACCCAACTGTCTTGCGACCTGGTGCACTATCAACCAAATTCCAAACTTGGTTGTCATACATGGACTTAATCTCGCTGTCCATTGCCTCTTTCCACTTGGAAGCCTCTGGGCCTGCCATTGCTTCCTTATAAGTGACTGGTTCATCTAAGTTACCAGTGTTCCTGTCACTATGAATGTGTCACCATCTGAAGTAATATGAAAACCATACAACTCAGGTGGCACACTCACCTAGTGGATCTTCTAAGAGGTAATGAGTTATCGATTGGTTCAACAGGAACTGTTTCCTCTGGTTGAGTGCTAGTGTCATCTAAGGTTCCTCATTGGCTGAATCTTGAATTTCTTCAAGGTCAATAGAGCTC